CGGTCCTCAAAGGGTTAACTGAGCCTAGCAAAGGCATAAGGCATTAGCACATCAGTGGGTATCATACAATACCACCCCTGCATTTTTCCTACAGAAACAATTTTTTATCATATTATTCCAACCCATTGATGAAGCTTTTAACCATTTGCCGCCCGGCCTATAGCCATTTGGCGGCTGCAAAAATGCATTAACTTCCCGGGGTGTACGCCATTTGGCGTCCTCCCGCACATGTGCAGTTCGCGCGGTTGCAGAGCCGCGCAGCGGCACGATCTGTCACCGGCCGTGTACCTCGGACACGGCTGATGACAGATCTGAGTACCGGCCCCTGTTGCTGGTACCATGTGACCTGCTGTGACCAATCACAGCAGGTCACATGACAGTTGTATACGATGGATGGCTTCATTCATGCCATCCATTGTATACTAGTGCCTAGCTGTGAATGGTCACAGCGATCACATGCACATGTCATGTGATTAGCTGTGACCAAATCACAGCTAAGCACAAAAAAAAAAAAAAAAACCTGAATGAATCGATGTCATTGAGGTAAATGCTTGCTTATAGCAAAGTAATTGTGTAAAAAAAAAAAAAAAAAAATTCTGATCACTTCCCCAAAGTAGTACAATGTTACTATGGTAACATTGTACTACTTTGGTCATAGTGAAATCTTAAAAAATAATTTAAAAAAATGTAATAAAAAATAATAAAAAAATAAAAAATATACATTTTTTTTTTTTTTTTTTTCATACTGTCACCGGTTAGTGTCCCTGATCACCGCCATGCCAGTTATATGATGACGCTGTACTGCACTGGTGACAGGATGTAAAAAAACAAAATAGTGAAAATATTTTTTTTATTTTTTCATTTTCCAAAAAATGACAAAAAAAATACAACTCCAAAAAACTCTCCATGCCTCTTATGAAGTACGTCGGACTGTCTACTTTACAAAAAGGGGTCATTTGGGGGATATCTGTACTGTCCTGACATTTGGGGGATATCTGTACTGTCCTGACATTTGGGGGATATCTGTCCTGTCCTGACATTTGGGGGATATCTGTACTGTCCTGACATTTGGGGATATCTGTCCTGACATTTGGGGGATATCTGTACTGTCCTGACATTTGGGGGATATCTGTCCTGTCCTGACATTTGGGGATATCTGTCCTGTCCTGACATTTGGGGATATCTGTCCTGTCCTGACATTTGGGGGATATCTGTACTGTCCTGACATTTGGGGGATATCTGTACTGTCCTGACATTTGGGGGATATCTGTCCTTTCCTGACATTTGGGGGATATCTGTCCTGTCCTGACATTTGGGGGATATCTGTCCTGTCCTGACATTTGGGGGATATCTGTACCGTGCTGACATTTGGGGGATATCTGTACCGTTCTGACATTTGGGGGATATCTGTCCTGTCCTGACATTTGGGGGATATCTGTACCGTCCTGACATTTGGGGGATATCTGTACCGTCCTGACATTTGGGGATATCTGTCCTGTCCTGACATTTGGGGGATATCTGTCCTGTCCTGACATTTGGGGATATCTGTCCTGTCCTGACATTTGGGGGATATCTGTCCTGTCCTGACATTTGGGGGATATCTGTACTGTCCTGACATTTGGGGGATATCTGTCCTGTCCTGACATTTGGGGGATATCTGTCCTTTCCTGACATTTGGGGGATATCTGTCCTGTCCTGACATTTGGGGGATATCTGTACCGTGCTGACATTTGGGGGATATCTGTACCGTTCTGACATTTAGGGGATATCTGTACTGTCCTGACATTTGGGGGATATCTGTACCGTGCTGACATTTGGGGGATATCTGTACCGTCCTGACATTTGGGGGATATCTGTACCGTCCTGACATTTGGGGGATATCTGTCCTGTCCTGACATTTGGGGATATCTGTCCTGTCCTGACATTTGGGGGATATCTGTCCTGTCCTGACATTTGGGGATATCTGTCCTGTCCTGACATTTGGGGGATATCTGTACTGTCCTGACATTTGGGGGATATCTGTCCTGTCCTGACATTTGGGGATATCTGTACCGTCCTGACATTTGGGGGATATCTGTACCGTCCTGACATTTGGGGGATATCTGTCCTTTCCTGACATTTGGGGGATATCTGTCCTGTCCTGACATTTGGGGGATATCTGTCCTGTCCTGACATTTGGGGATATCTGTCCTGTCCTGACATTTGGGGGATATCTGTCCTGTCCTGACATTTGGGGATATCTGTCCTGTCCTGACATTTGGGGGATATCTGTCCTGTCCTGACATTTGGGGGATATCTGTCCTGTCCTGACATTTGGGGGATATCTGTACTGTCCTGACATTTGGGGGATATCTGTACTGTCCTGACATTTGGGGGATATCTGTCCTGTCCTGACATTTGGGGGATATCTGTACCGTGCTGACATTTGGGGGATATCTGTACCGTGCTGACATTTGGGGGATATCTGTACCGTTCTGACATTTAGGGGATATCTGTACTGTCCTGACATTTGGGGGATATCTGTACCGTGCTGACATTTGGGGGACATCTGTACCGTGCTGACATTTGGGGGATATCTGTACCGTCCTGACATTTGGGGGATATCTGTCCTGTCCTGACATTTGGGGATATCTGTCCTGTCCTGACATTTGGGGGATATCTGTCCTGTCCTGACATTTGGGGATATCTGTCCTGTCCTGACATTTGGGGGATATCTGTACTGTCCTGACATTTGGGGGATATCTGTCCTGTCCTGACATTTGGGGATATCTGTACCGTCCTGACATTTGGGGGATATCTGTACCGTCCTGACATTTGGGGGATATCTGTCCTTTCCTGACATTTGGGGGATATCTGTCCTGTCCTGACATTTGGGGGATATCTGTACCGTGCTGACATTTGGGGGATATCTGTACCGTGCTGACATTTGGGGGATATCTGTACCGTGCTGACATTTAGGGGATATCTGTACTGTCCTGACATTTGGGGGATATCTGTACCGTGCTGACATTTGGGGGATATCTGTACCGTTCTGACATTTGGGGGATATCTGTACCGTCCTGACATTTGGGGGATATCTGTACTGTTCTGACATTTGGGGGATATCTGTACTGTCCTTACATTTGGGGGATATCTGTACCATTCTGACATTTGGGGGATATCTGTACCGTCCTGACATTTGGGGGATATCTGTACCGTTCTGACATTTGGGGGATATCTGTACCGTCCTGACATTTGGGGGATATCTGTACCGTTCTGACATTTGGGGGATATCTGTACTGTTCTGACATTTGGGGGATATCTGTACTGTCCTGACATTTGGGGGATATCTGTACTGTTCTGACATTTGGGGGATATCTGTACTGTCCTGACATTTGGGGGATATCTGTACTGTTCTGACATTTGGGGGATATCTGTACTGTCCTTACATTTGGGGGATATCTGTACTGTCCTGACATTTGGGGGATATCTGTACCGTTCTGACATTTGGGGGATATCTGTACTGTTCTGACATTCTTGGACCTCTAGAAATTAGATTGGCTGTCAGTACTTCAGGATTGATCAATATTCAGATCTATACCATAGTTTGTGAACTCTATAACTTTCCTACAAACTAAATAATACATCCTAATTTGGGTTATTTTCACCAAAGACATGGAGCAGAATACATCTCGGCCTAAATTTATGAAGAACAATTATTTATTTGTAAACTTTTATAACAGAAACAAAGAAAAATGTGGGGTTTTTTTCAAAATTTTTGGTATTTTTTTGTTAATTTAGCAAAAAATAAAAACCCCAGCGGTGATTAAATACCACCAAAAGAAAGCTCTAGTTGTGTGAAGAAAATGATAAAATTTTAGTTTGGGCACAACGTTGTATGACCGCGCAATTGTCATTCAAAGTGTGAGAGCACTGAAACCTGAAAACTGGCCTGGACAGGAAGGGGGAAAATTGCCCGGTATGGAAATGGTTAAAGAGAAACAAAATTCTGCTAATCTCTGAAAACCAGTAGTAAAGGGGAAAAGCTTTTTTAACCCGTATAATCAGAGGGTCACCCTAATAAGGCTCAATTACGACTTTTGATTCGACTTAGATCCACTGAGTGTAAAGTCGGATCAAAGCCACCCCAAAAGTCACATCAAAGTTGTGTGCTCAAGTTGCACTGGAAATCGTGCCGTTACATCCAGGCGTGTACACAAGCGCTGCGTATCCTTAAGTGAAAAAAAAAAAGAAAACACAGAGTTCCCGGTATGTGCTAATGAGCATAAATATTAATGGATTTTGCACAGGAATATATTATATACATGAATGCGCATATGCAAAAATACATGTGAATGTGCGCATAAATATGTGTGAATACGTGCAAAACAAACATCTGCAATTAAGTCCACATATCCACAAGAGGCTCTCTAGTTTAATAAGCAGCTCATCTATTTTCTGAGGTTTTGCATTAAGGTGGAAGTAAACCCTCTTTTGTATCTTTTACCTACAGGTTAGCTTTTATTAACCATTTCCAGTCCGGACACTTTCCCCCCCTTCCAGTCCGGACACTTCCCCCCCTTCCAGTCCGGACACTTCCCCCCCCCCCTTCCAGTCCGGACACTTCCCCCCCTTCCAGTCCGGACACTTCCCCCCCCTTCCAGTCCGGACACTTTCCCCCCCTTCCAGTCCGGACACTTCCCCCCCTTCCAGTCCGGACACTTTCCCCCCCTTCCAGTCCAGACACTTTCCCCCCCTTCCAGTCCAGACACTTTCCCCCCCTTCCAGTCCAGACACTTTCCCCCCCTTCCAGTCCAGACACTTTCCCCCCCTTCCAGTCCAGACACTTTCCCCCCCTTCCAGTCCAGACACTTTCCCCCCCTTCCAGTCCAGACACTTTCCCTCCCTTCCAGTCCGGACACTTTCCCTCCCTTCCAGTCCGGACACTTTCCCTCCCTTCCAGTCCGGACACTTTCCCCCCCTTCCAGTCCAGACACTTTCACCCCCTTCCAGTCCGGACACTTTCCCCCCTTCCAGTCCGGACACTTTCCCCCCCTTCCAGTCCGGACACTTTCACCCCCTTCCAGTCCGGACACTTTCACCCCCTTCCAGTCCGGACACTTTCACCCCCTTCCAGTCCGGACACTTTCCCCCCTTCCAGTCCGGACACTTTCACCCCCTTCCAGTCCGGACACTTTCCCCCCCTTCCAGTCCGGACACTTTCACCCCTTCCAGTCCGGACACTTTCCCCCTCTTCCAGTCCGGACACTTTCCCCCCTTCCAGTCCGGACACTTTTTCACCCCCTTCCAGTCCGGACACTTTCCCCCCCTTCCAGTCCGGACACTTTCACCCCTTCCAGTCCGGACACTTTCCCCCTCTTCCAGTCCGGACACTTTCACCCCCTTCCAGTCCGGACACTTTCACCCCCTTCCAGTCCGGACACTTTCACCCCCCTTCCTGTCCGGACACTTTCCCCCCCCTTCCTGTCCAGGGCAATTTTCAGCTTTCAGTGCTATCACACTTTGAATGACAATTGCGCGGTCATGCAACACTGTACCCAAATTAATTTTTTACCATTTTTTTGAGACAGATAAAGGTTTAGTTTGGTGGTATTTATTCACCGCTGGGATTTTTATTTTTTTTTCTATGTAAATTAAAAAGTCCAAAAATTTTGAAAAAAAGTGTTTTTTTTTTTAAATAAAATTTTGCAAATAAATAATATTTCATCATAAATCTTTGCCAAAATTGATTCTGTTATCTTTTTGGTAAAAAAAAAATCCAAATTAGTTTATAACCAAAAATTGTAATTTTTAAAAAAATTTGTTTACATTTTTATTTTATTTTTTTATATTATTATTTTTTTATTTTTATTTATTTTTTTACATACTGTCACCCTAGCAGTAGTGTCACCATGGTGACACTGTACTACTTGTGGGGGGTGATGAAGATTTTTTTTTTTTTTTTTTTTTTTTTTACACTGATTGCTTTTACACCCATATAGGATGTAAAAGCAATCATTTCTCCTTCTCTCTGGTTGCATTCCTGCAGTCATTGTGAAATACTGAGTGAGCTGTGATTGGTCACAGCTTGTCACATGGTGCAAGGCTGTTGTGAATAGCCCTGTACCATGTGACCTCTGTGATCATTCACAAATTTCACATGTAGTAAGCAATGATGTCACTACTTTGTGAACTACTTTGCATGTGATCACTGATTGGCCAATCAGTGATCACATGATCGGGACCTCACACAGAGGTCCCGTCCGACGATCAGTGTTTCACTGTGTCGAGAGGACACAGCGGGCACCAGATTGTGGTGCTGCGTGCTCCCAGGGAGCGCGCACAAGCTGGGTGCGGGGAGGCCGTTTATAAACGGCCACCCTCCCCTGCACTGCCACCGTCCGGCCGTTTATATGCAATGGCTGGATGGGAAGTGGTTAACGCTTACCTGTAGATAAAATGAATATCTCCTAAACGTGCGCTGTGGAGGAAATATCCCCTTTTTTGACAGCTAGCGAATGTGCTCTGAAGGAATGGCATACCCGCGCTGTTCCTTCAGAGCACTGTGCCGCGGCCTGAGACTCCTGTGCATATGTGTGAGAGTGACGTCATTACGGCCATTCAGGCGGCTTGACCTCGCAAACCCAGAAGGCAGACCGGGTGAAGATGGAAGCCTCTGCAGTGGAGACAGTGTGCCGCTGGAGGGATCACTTTAAGGTAGGTCCTTCATAATGTACGCCATGCCATGCACATTACATCATTATCTTGCAGATGATTTCTAAAACTCTTTTTAGCAAGCTGCGGTTTACTTTAGAAGTGGTCAGTTTCTCTGCGCTGTTACAAAACAAAGAAAATATAAATTCCTAAATTATGCAGAAAATGGTATTAATTTAAAATGAGACATTTCACCTCTGCTTTTTCAGATTTGCCAAATTACAGGCAGATTGGTCATTTGTTCACAGATTTTCTCATCTTCTTAGAGACTTATGCAGGCCATAGATGGGTCGAAAAACGGCAGATTTTTCTTTTAAAAAACGAAAAATCGGTTGTTCAAGCGGCCGAGGTTACCATCAATGGTAAAAAAAAATCGGCCGATTTTCATCCCGTCTACAGCCGGCAAAAGTGTCGTTGCAGAGAGCTCCGCTATTTCTGACAGTTCTCTGACAGTTCCTTGACATTTACAGCGGTTGCAACATTGTATCTATTTGTTTCCATTTAGGATACAGATTTTTTTTATTCGGAAACAAATAGATACAATGTTGCAACCTCTGTAAATGTCAAGGAACTGTCAAAGAAATAGCGGAGCTCTCTGCAGGGACACTTTTTGCCGGACTGGAATTCCTTTTATTTTTCATCCTTCTTCTTCTCCTTTTTCATCATCATCCTCTTCTTATTTTTCTTCATCATCATCATCCTCTTCTTCTTCTTCATCATCATCATCCTCTTCTTCTTCTTCATCATCATCATCCTCTTCTTCTTCATCATCATCATCATCATCATCATCTTCATCCTCTTCTTCATCCTCTTCTTTTTCTTCTTTTTGTCTTCCTCTTGCAGGTCACTGCTCATGCGCAGATTTTTTATCAGTAAAAAATCGGCCGATTAGCCCATTATTGCTGCGAAAATCGGCCGATCGGCAAAATCGGCTGATTTTTTTCCAACTTTCCCGATTAAAAAAACCAGCCAAAATACCGAAAAACGGCCGAACAAATAGCCCACTAACGATCCGAAAATCGGCCGATTTTCGACCCATCTATGGCCTGCATTAGATAAACTGAAACAAAACTCTGTTGTACTATTCAAACTATCTACTATTTTACTTTTTCAGATTATCTATGGCAGCCTGAGATGGAATCCATAGAGCAGGTTTTAGTTAACAACACTGAATGGAAACTACACTGTAAAATCTTTGGATATTTCCCGGATGATCTGACTGTGAGCTGGTATAAGAAGAATGAGGAGACAGATGACATTATTGCTCTGGATAATATTAATAAATACAAGACTGAAATCAGTGGACACCAGAGGTGGTCAGATAACGCATACAGCTATACAGCCAGTCTGATGTTCACCCCAACACTGCCAGAAGACCAGAGGTCAGAGTTCATCTGCAGAGTGCAGCATTCATGTCTACAGCAACCCATAGAGAGGAGAATAGGACCCCTACAAATCCTGGGTGAGTTCTCTGACAACCCACAACTATTGGGATGTGGTGTTGCATGACTAGACAAGTTCACATAACCACTGCAACTAACTGGTGATTGTATTCTAATACAGTATTGTTTATTTCTGATTTTGATGCTGACAGTGTAATCTTTCTTGTATTTATGTCTAGTGGCTCCGCAGGTGATAGAGCCGGTGAGATTCTCCTTCAGTGATTCAGGAGAGGTGAGATGTTCCCTGACTCTGAAGAGATTCTACCCTCGGGAGATGAACATTACATGGAGCACAGGAGAATCACAAACCAAGCTCAGGACTAACGGCCAACCAGCTGAGGATGGTGAAACATTTAATGTCACAAGAGTGTGCACATTGCCCCGACCTCTACGCTTTCCCATCTATGTGACCTGGGAGCATCAATCAGTGAGACAACCTCAGAGTATTATACTGAATTCAACAGGTAATAAATACGTACAGCATAAGATGGCATTTGTACAAGAATACATTCTATTTATTAACACACAGGGGGGTCTCATGAATCCCTTCCCCTTATGTCATTGTCAACAACAATTAATGCAGTCATAGCTGAAAATGTTGGCCCCTACATTTCTGTCAGGTACTGCACCACTTTTTATTATTATTATTATACAGGATTTATGGAGCCAACAGTGTGCTCAGCGCTTTACATTATAGCGGGAGACAATACAGTAACGATGCAGTTCAATACAAAAGAGATTTGAGGGCCCTGATCCTTGGAGCTTACAATCTAGGAGGGAGGGGCTAGTAATACAAAAGGTAAAACTGTGAGGGATGGACTGGTTGGAAGAGTAGAAGATTCCAGTATTAGCTGAGGGCAGGATAGGCTTCCCTGAAGAGATCGGTTTTCAGTGATCGCCTAAAAGTGAGAAGAGTAGGTGATAGTCTGATAGCTTGGGGTAGAGAGATCCAGAGGATGGGGGAAGCCCTGGAGACAAACATAGGAGGAGGAGACAAGGGAGCTAGAGAGTAGGAGGGCTTGTGAGGAACGGAGAGTACGGTTTGGGTGATATTTAGAGACAAGATCGGTGATGTAATTTGGGGCGGAGTTATAAATGGCTTTATATGTCATTGTTAGTGTTTTGAATTTTATCCGTTGGACAACGGGAAGCCAGTGGAGGGATTGGCAGAGAGGGGTGGAGGACAGTGAGTGGAGGGATTGGCAGAGAGGGGTGGAGGACAGTGAGTGGAGGGATTGGCAGAGAGGGGTGGAGGACACTGAGTGGAGGTCAGTGGAGGGATTGGCAGAGAGGGATGGCAGATGCAGAACGGTTAGTAAGGTGGATGATTCTGGCAGCAGTATTCATGATAGACTGAAGAGGGGATAGCCTGCAATGAGGTCGGCCAATGAGGAGGGAGTTACAGTAGTCAAGGCATGATATAATAAGGGAGTGAATAAGTTGCTTAGTGGTTTCAGGGGTTAGGAACGGTCGTATCTTGGAGGTGTTGTGGAGGTGGAGATGTTGCAGGGTTGGAGATGTTGCGGAGGTGAAGTCTACAAGAGTTGGACAGTGATTGGATTTGGGGCTGAAAGGACAGATGGGAGTCTAGGATTACACCTAGTACCCTGGCATGAGGGGAGGGACTGATGGTTGTATTATTGATCTTGATGGAGAATTCAGGGGAGGGGGCACAGGCTGGGGGGAATACTAAGAGCTCAGTTTTTGGAAAGATTGAGTTTGAGGAAGTGGAGTGACATCCATGTCGATATGTCGCTTAGTAGGCTAGCGATGCGGGGGTGGAGACTGAAGGGGTGAGGTGAGGTGAGGAGGAGACTGAAGGGGTGAGGTGAGGAGGAGACTGAAGGGGTGAGGTGAGGGGTAGAAAGATAGATTTGTGTGTCATCAGCATAGAGATGGTAATTGAAGCCATGGGAGTTTATCAAGTGACCAAGGGAGGAGGTGTAGATTCAGAAGAGAAGAAGGGGTCCAAGGACAGAACCTTGAGGGACCCCTACAGAGAGAGGGACTGAAGATGAGGTGGCAGTGTTATAGGTAACACTGAAGGAGCGCTGTGATAGGTAGGAGGAGAACCAGGAGAGGGGGGAGTCTCTGAGGCCAAGAGAGTGTATTTTTTTTTTGAGGAGGGGATGGTCAATCGTATCAAAAGCCGTGGAGAGGTCAAGTAGTAGGAGTATTGATTAGTGGCCATTGGTTGGGATGAGTATGGAGTAGTGGCCATTGGTTGGGATGAGTATGGAGTAGTGGCCATTGGTTGGGATGAGTACGGAGTAGTGGCCATTGGTTGGGATGAGTACGGAGTAGTGACCATTGGTTGGGATGAGTATGGAGTAGTGGCCATTGGTTGGGATGAGTACGGAGTAGTGGCCATTGGTTGGGATGAGTACGGAGTAGTGACCATTGGTTGGGATGAGTATGGAGTAGTGGCCATTGGTTGGGATGAGTACGGAGTAGTGGCCATTGGTTGGGATGAGTATGGAGTTGTGGCCATTGGTTGGGATGAGTATGGAGTAGTGGCCATTGGTTGGGATGAGTACGGAGTAGTGGCCATTGGTTGGGATGAGTACGGAGTAATGGCCATTGGTTGGGATGAGTACGGAGTAATGGCTATTGGTTGGGATGAGTACGGAGTAGTGGCCATTGGTTGGGATGAGTATGGAATAGTGGCCATAGGTTGGGAGGAGTACGGAGTAGTGACCATTGGTTGGGATGAGTACGGAGTAGTGGCCATTGGTTTTAGCAGTTAGTAGATCATTAGTGAGTTTTAGTAGGGCAGTTTCAGTGGAGTGTAGAGAGAGAGAGCCAGACTGTAAAGGGTGAAGAAGGTTGTTGTCGGTGAGGGAGGAGCTCAGGCGATTGTAGACTAAGCGTTCTGAGAGTTTAGAGGTAAATGGCAGCAGGGAGATGGGTCTTAAGTTGTTCAGGTTGGTGGGGTCCAGGGAGGGCTTTTTAAGTATGGGAGTGATGTGCGCATGCTTTAGAGGGGAGGGGAAGGCACCAGTAGAGAGGGAAAGATTGAAGATGTGAGTGAGGGAGCATAGGATGGAAGAAGAGGGTGACCGTAGTAGTTGTGAGGGGACAGGATCCAGGGGGCACTTGGTGAGATGGACTTCTGAGAAAACCTTAGTGATCTCTTCGGTAGTAGCAAGGTCAGAAGAGGAAAGTGTGTTGAGGGAGGTTTAGTATAAGGTATGCTAAGTGGGATGGATGTCTGTGCAGTGGAGATGTCCCTATGGATTACGTCAATCTTGTTTTTGAAATGATTTTGCAATATCGTGAGCCGTGAGTGAGGTACTGGGTGGAGGTGGGGGCAGAGAAAGTAGAGAGTTAAAAGTAGAGAAGAGACGACGAGGACTGGATGACGAGGTGTTAATAAGAGTGACAAGTAGGCGTGTTTGGCAGCATGGAGGGAGGAATTGTATGTTAAGAAAGCAGATTTATATCAGGTGAATGCTTGTTGAGATTTGGTTTTACGTCACAATCGCTCCAGCGCATGACTATGTGTGTTTAATATTCCTGGTGTGGTCAGTCTGCCACGGATGTAATGGTCGGGGCCTGATGCTTCATGTTGTTAGAGGAGCAAGTGAGTCTAATGTGGATGAAAGCAAACAGTTGTAGACAGCAGTGGCCAGGTCAGGGCAGGACAGGGGAGAGATTCTGTCATAGAGTTGGTCAGTTGCAGAGTGGAAAGGAGCCGGGTTCAAGTTGTGAAGGTTTCTGCGGGTAATTGTTTGCTGATCGGAGGGATAGGTGTTTGAAGACGAGGAGACTGTGAAGGTGATGAGATTGTGATCAGAGAGAGGAAAGGGGGTGTTTGTGAGGTTGTAGGGAGTGCAAAGATGGGAGAAAACAAGGTCTAATGTATTCCCATCAGAGTGAGTGGAGGACTGTATACATTGTGCTAATGCAAGAGATGAGGTTATGTTGAAGAGTTGGGATGTAGCCGGGTTGTTGACATTAATAGGGATGTTAAAATCTCCAAGAATGATAGCGGGTAGTTCAGAGGAGAGAAAGTAGGGTAGCCAGGTGGAGAAATCATCAACAAAGTGGGACACGGGTCCAGGAGACCGATAGATCACTGCAATCCTCAGAGAAATGGGAGAAAACAGCCGGATGCAGTGAGTCTTGAAAGAAGAGAAGGATAGAGAGGGAGGGTTAGAGAGGACTTGGAATGTGCTCAGTGGGGATAGAAGCAAGCCAACCCCACCACCTTTCCGACCACTGGTTTTGGGTGAGTGGGTCCAGAGGAGGCCCATAGGAAAGTGCTGCGGGGGAAGCAGAATCTGCTGCTTGGAGTCAGGTCTCTGTAATTGCTAGTAGGTTAAGGGAGCGGGAGACAAAAAGGTCATGGACAGAGGTGAGCTTATTTACAGACAGAGCGGGCATTCCAGAGCGCACATGAAAAAGGGAGGGTGGTTTTTGGGAGCACGGGGACCGATGTTAAATTGAGGGGATTGCAGCTATTCCCCGAAGAAAGAGGATGCCTGGTGTTGGGTGAGTGAGGTGGTGAAGGACCAGGGTTTGGGGAGATATCCCCAGAGGTTAGGAGAAGAAGAAGGGTGAGGCAAGTAAGATGGGAGCGGGATGTACATGAGCGCACATGCCTTCCAGTCCTGGTGTTTGGGTCAGCAGGTGAGTAAAGTATCAGCAGGAGGTGACGACAGCAGTAGTAGGGAGATGGTAGAAGTGAGGGGGGGATGTACAAGTTTTGGGGTGGAGCAGGGGGGTAAAGAAAGATTTTGGGAACGCAGGAAAGGAATATGAAAAGGAGGGAGTAGAGGGGACATGTTAAAGGTACACGCAGTGGGGATCAGTTTGGAGAGATGTTTTCCCAGGGTGTATGCTTGCAGTTTGTCCAGCATGCAGTAGAGTTCTTGTTGTTGTGTCTTCCTACGGCTGGAGTTCTCCTGCTTTAGTTCAAACTAGGCTGAGTTCAGCATGTTTGGTTTCTGAACAGTCAGTTCTGGAGCCCAACGCAGCTATTTCCTGAGAGAGGACGTTTGTACTTTTATGGAGTTTAGCGGCTAACTTGGTGTATATAGGGAAGGATTCCAGATCCCTCTTTGTAGGTTCCTGTGAGTACTCACTGTCCTGAGCTGAAGGGTGGGCTGCGGTGTCCTGTGTGAAACCGGATGGGAATGCTCTTTCAGTGATATTCTGAGACATGCTGCAAATCTCGTGCATTTTCATTAAATATGCCATGAGGGATTTGGAGCATTACCCCTATTTTTTCTTTTTGGTGGTCGGTATGTAGGAAATCTCCTGGGGTTGATTAGTTGAAAATTGTATAACCAAGGATATTACTGGCCCCAGAGGATCTATAACGCCCGGTACCGGTGCAGAGAAGTAGTAACGTAGATGCAATCAAACTTCAATTTCCATTTGTGCAATTTCCAGATTGTGAAATTAGATTTGACATGAGGGGGGTGAGGGATGGATATCAGCTGTAGAGTTTATGTGCAGTAGGAGCAGGGGAACCATACGCTGGCCCGGCCCTCTGTAGTGGGGTCAGATGAGGTGACTCAGTATATATCTAGGGAGGCCAGGTCCCCAACTTCCAGGCCCACTTGAGGTCTTGCTGCCACCAGAGCACTCACAGGGGGTCTGATGAGTGCTGGTTGCCCCCCACGCTAACTGTACTCAGGCTCAAATGAAGGATGGATGGATTCCAGGCATGGGCCAGGCTGTGTCACCAGGCTGTGTCATGGCAGGCCACAGTAGGCCTCACTAGACCGAATTCATTTGTCGCTGTTGATGGGGGACAGACCCCACTCCGATCCCCCCTCCGGTTATGGACCGGACAATGGAGGCCTCTGATGTCGCTGGAGCCTCGGGCTATGCGGCCGCAACAGGCCGTGGATGTCCGCCGGGACGGAGAGGCTCTGTAGTGGGCTCATCCAGATGGGAGGGATGCTGCAGAGAGCTTCCGGTGCCCTGCAGGAGTCCGCTGCTGCCCCGGGGGGCAGCGGTTTGGGGAATCAAGGCTCCGGAGCCCCGGGGCTATGTGGCCACACCAGGCCGTGGAAGTCCCGGGCTATACGACCGCACCGGGCCGTGGATGTCCGCTGGGATGGGACGGAGAGGCTCTGTAGTGGGCTCATCCAGATGGAGGGATGCTGCAGAGAGCCTCCGGTGCCCTGCAGGAGTCCGCTGCTGCCCAGGTGGCAGCGGATTGGGGAATCAAGGCTCCGGAGCCCCGGGCTATGTCACACCAGGCCGTGGAAGTCCGGGCTATACGACCGCACCGGGCTGTGGATGTCCGCTGGGATGGGACGGAGAGGCTCACCCAGATGGAGGGACGCTGCAGAGAGCTTCTGGTGCCCTATAGGAGGTCCGCTGCTGCCCGGGTGGCAGCAGATTAGAGATTAACGCACCGGAGCTCCGGATCAAGCATCTGCCCCGGTCGCCATCTTGTTGAAGATAATTGTTCCAGTTACAAATGTTTTGGCATTCTCATGTTTATTTATTTTGTTTGTATTGGTATGACACACAAAGGTGGAGAAACAAAAAGCCAAATCTGACACATTCCACACAAAACCCCCCAAAACTGACAAAATTATTAGCACCCTCAATTTAATATTTGATGGTAAACACTTTGGAAAAATTAACTGAAATCAATGGCTTCCTGTAACCATCCATGAGTTTCTTCCACCTCTCTACTGGAATTTTGGAGCACTCTTCTTTCTCTCCACAGGAGCTCTATGGGATTGAGATCTGGGCTCATTGCTGGCCAGTTCAGTCCTCTCCAGCGCTTTGTTTAAAACCACTTCTGGGCGATTTTTGACATGTGCTTTGGGTCATTGTCCTGCTGGAAGACCCATGACCTCAAACGGAGACCCAACTTTCTGACACCGCCCCTACATTGCACCCCAGAATTCTTTGGTAGTCTTCAGATTTCATAATGCCCTGTACACGGCCAAGACATCCAGTGCCTGAAGTAGCAAAGCAACCCCAAAACATCAGTGACCCCTCACCATGTGTGACTGGAGGGACTGTGACCCCCCCCACCATGTGTGACTGGAGGGACTGTGACCCCCCCCACACCATGTGTGACTGGAGGGACTGTGACCCCCCCACCATGTGTGACTGGAGGGACTTTTTGAGGTTTCTGTTTCAGCAGTGGGGTCTTCCTGGGTCTCCAACCATAGATCCCCTTTTCATTCAGATGGTGACGTATAGTGAGAGCTTACACAGTTGCACCCGGTGCCTGAAGGTCAGCTTGAAGTTGTCTGGAAGTTGATAGAGGTTCTTTAGCCTTCATTTGAAAATCCTTCATTGCAATCTTTGATCAATCCTCTTTCATCCACATCCAGGGAGATTAGCTACAGTGCCATTGGCTGTAAACTTCTTGACAATGTTGTGCACAGTGGACACAGGAACATTAGGATCTCTGGAGATGGACTTCTAACCTTGAGATTGTCCATGCTTTTCCACAATTTTTGTTCTCGAATCCTCAGACAATTTTTTGCTGCTCTTTCTCTTCTCCCTGCCCCATGTGGCACACAGAGACACCCAACAGAAAGGTTGAGTCAGGGTTTCACCATTTTAACTGGTTGCCGGAATGATTTCTATATTGTCAGCACCTGTTAATTGATACTGTTGAGTTTATTTACAAATTACAGGAGCATCACAAACTTGGAATGCAATAATTTCTCACAATTTTGAAAAGGCTCCAATAATTTTGTCCAGTCCAATTCTAGAGTTTTGCGCGGATTGTGTCAGATTTGGCTTTTAGTTTCTCCAATTTTTTGTGTCATACCAATACAAACAAAGGAAATAAACATGAGAATGCCGAAACATTTGTAACTGGAACACTTTTCTGGTTGAAGTGGTGCAATATCTGACAGAAATGCAGGGGTGCCAATATTTTTGGCCATGACTGTCTACAATGCTGGACTGTAATGAAAGGTTGGAGTGTGAACACTTTTTCAAGCTCCAGTTTTACAGGTACTGAAGATGAAAACAAGTGACCAGAAGCTGTTAATTTCCAATAAACAGTTTACTTGATTGTTAAGAAAAGATTTGTGTACTTTCTCTCTTTAGTCCTGGTCCACACCAGTGCGACTTGTCATGCAACTTGACAGTTCAAAGTC